AAGAAGGAAGGAAGAAAAGAAAAAAGGGAGGGAGGGAGGGAGACGACATGGAGGGAAATGGCAAGCCAGGTCTGTGCTCTGGATCAGGGAACACAAGTCCAGCTCTGTCTTCAGTGCTTAGAGCCTATCTGGAAAGACAAGGTGGCCACACTGAGGGCCCTGTCCCCTCCCTCCCCACCACCCCCACCCCAAATCCTGCTGCCCGTGTTGGCTGGGGCTGGTTCACGTGTTCCTGGCCTGTACCTGCTCCCTGCCCCGTCAGCCCAGGTTCTCCTCACTCCCTTGGCAACCTGCCCTGAGGAGGTATCCTGGGAGCCTTCCAGGGGGTGGGGGCCCGGGCGGAACCGAAGCCAAGCCAGGGAGCATGGCCAGGAAGGAGTCGGCAAAGCAGATGCTGCCCCTCTCCTGCTGCCTTGATTAGAGAAATTGAGATGTTAATAATATTCCGAGATGCAAGGTGCTAATTAAAGTTAATTACTGTTTCCTTGTGAAGTAACCTCTCCTTGTGTTTACCAGGAACAAGGCTGCCAGCCGCTCCCCTGGCTCGTGCCAATCACGATGCCTGCTGCTCGGTGTGCCCCACACCCTCACAGGTGCCCTCAGCTGCCCCAGCGCAGCCTAGCCCAGTTCCAGCGGGCATCAGGATCTGAAGTTTCCAGGTCCCACCTCTTGGCATGCCACCAGACCTGCCCTGCCAGGGAGCCAGGGACACTTGGGCACGAGCGACCCCTGGGGTCTGGGGGCAGGACTAGTGGCCTCAGGGGCTGGAACTCCTGTCCTTCGCCTCCTCCCCTCCTGCGTCTTGCCCTGTCTCTTTCCAGCTCCTTGACCTGAAGCGGGTTACTTAACCTCTTAGAATCTCAGTTTTCCCATCTATAAATGGGGCTACTAATTCCTACCTTGTGCTGTTGTTGTGAGAATCAAATGAGAAGCTCCCTGTAAAATGCTCACCATAACCACATAGCTGGAATTTAATAAGCTCTCAATTAAGGATAACTGTGATTATTGTTGTCTTTGTTAATAATCGTCTCCCTCCCAGATCCCTCTCCTGTGTGGTCTGGCTGCAGGAGTCGGGGTGGGGGTAGAGTGTCAACTGAGCATACGTATGTCCTCTACTCATCCTGGGATGTCACCCCAGCTACCTGCACACATGGCCACACACCCACCCACATATCCCCCTCCTGAGGGGCCTCCCCCTTCCTGGCACCCTGACACATCTGCTTCTCATGACCCCCTCCTTGGTCTCAGCCGCATCCAGAGAAGTGGAGAGAAGATAGGGGAGGCTGACGACACTCTCCCAGAGCAGAGTTCTGCAAAGTCCAGTGTGAGAGTGTGTGAGTGTGTGTGTGTGTGCACGCGTGTGTGCGTATGCACACATGCACATGTGTGTCCACTCTCATGTTCCCAGCTTCATAGGGCTTTGGGGGAGAGGCCACCCCTTTGGGATCCAAGTCAAGTTGCCATGACAACTGCTGCAGGTGCACACCTCCAATCTCCTCTGCTCACTCACCCCACCCCGCACACACAGCCACTCTGGCCAATTCTGGGGGAGATCCCACCTCTCTCATGGGAATCCCCCCCCACCAGCCTCCAGGCTACCTCTTCTGTCCCTTGCCAAGGGACAAGGCGGAGCCCTGTGAAGTGATTACTCCCTCAATCCACTTTCCTCTGGGGGCTTAGTGCTAATGAGTTAATATCACTGTCACCTTTGATTTGGGAGGACAGAATCTTCAGAGTCTTCCTGGGTACAGCATGGGTAACCAAAGGGCTGGGGGCTCCTGTGCTATTGTACCTTTCCCAGCTAGAGAGGGATTCTTGGCCCTTTCTGTCAGGGCAGCCTTAGCTAGTCCTGCCTAGGATATTTCCTGTTTATGGGCTTAGAAGGGCAAGGGGAGGGGACTTGGGGCTGGTAACCAGCCAGATTTGGGGGGTGAGGGTGTTTTGGAGGGACATTGATAGCACCAGCAGGCCCTGGGAAACCCCTGTGATTCAGCTGTTCCTGGTGAGCCCCTGCATTCTCCCCTCATTGGCCCCAGACCCCAACTTCGGGCTTACCTTCGCCCATGGCAGACCCTGTTCCTGGCTCCCTATTCCAAGTTTGATCTCCTCCTGCCTCCAGCCCCCCTGGGGACCTGAATCCCTCCCCCTGAAGCCCATGCTCTCTGTTTCTAGCTCCATCTACTTAACCCCAGGTCCCTCTTCCCCCCACCTCTTTCCCAGTGTCCCTTCCACTTCATCCCACTGTCCCCCCTCTGCTAGCCCTCCTTCCTCCTCCCCTCCACAGTTCTTCTCACCCACATCCTCACCTGGGCTTGCCCTCCCTCTGCCTCCCTTTCCATGCTGTGGCTGCAGAATCCCCAAGCACATTCACTCATTCAAGCAGCAAACATTTTTAGTGGTGACAAATAAGTGAAACAAGGTTCTTGCCTCCTGCAAGCTTTTATTCTAGTGGGAAGAGACAGAAATTGAACAAGTCAACAGAAAGATAAAATAATGATAGATTGGGATAAGATCAAGGAAAAGGACAAGGGGTACTCGTGACAGATGGCAAGGGGCACCTTCTATTTCCTTACTTAGATGGGGAGTCAGGAAAGGGTCACAGACAGCAGCTTTCCATGGGGCCACCTGGAGCAGAGGTTTGGCAGAGGCAGTCCCCAGTTCCTCTGTAAACAAGGGCCATGGAAGCCACTAGACCTTGCTGCTACCCCGCATTCCCGCCTGCACGGATGGACACCTTCCTCCTCAGTCAATCATGAAAGAGACAAACTCAGGGAGACCTGCCCTCCTCCCTGCCACCCTCACCTCCACCTCTGTTCCCATCAGCTTTTCTCAACTGGTATCTCCCCACAAGACTGAGGGGAGGAGGGTGAGGGTACCAGTCCTTGGGGAATCTGAAAGGGGAGACTGAATACATGAACAAGAGACACGGTCATGTAAAACTACAGACTAGAAGCAGCAGGAACAACTACAGCTCTTAGAAAATATACACATGGCTGGGATCGGTGGCTCAGCCTATAATCCCAGCACTTTGGGAGACCAAGTTGAGAGGATTGCCTGAGCCCACGGGTTCAAGACCAGCCCAGGCAACCTGGCGAGACCTCGTCTCTACAATAAAATAAAAAATAGCCTGGGTGTGGTAGCGTGCATCTGAAGTTCCAGCTACTCAGAAGGCTGAGGCGGAAGGATTGCTGGAGCCCAGAAGGTCGATGCTGGGGTGGCTGTGGACACGCGTGCCACTGCACTCCAGTCTGGGCGACGGAGTGAGACTCTAACTCAAAAAAAAAACCAAACAGCCGGGCTTGGTGGCTCAGCCTGTAATCCCGCGCCTTTGGGAGGCTGAGGTGAGTGGATTGCCTCATCCAAGTTGCCGCAGGTTCGAGACCCGCCTGGGCAACTTGGCGAGACCTCATCTCTACAATAAATAAAAAAATCAGCCGAGTGTGGTAACGCGCGCCTGTAATTCCGGTTACTCGGAAGGCTGAGGCCAAAGGATCGCCAGAGCCCAGCAGGTTGAGGCTGCGGTGGCCGGGAGCGGCCAC